GCTGGACCGATTGTGAGTTTACTGGTGTTCGCTGCCCTGGTGAATGAGTGTGGAAATTCCTCTAACTCGAGCTGGAACAGTTGTGGGTTTCTAGTCCCAGTACTTTACTCAGTGTGCACCATAGGAGCTGCCGAGCGGGAGTGAGGTTTGCTTCTTCCCTTTCCACACTTGCATTTGCATTTTCTTTCAAACTAGCACAGTAATGTTTGCATGGCTAGAACTTTACACCTGGACTGTTAACATCTTTTGTATACAAAGATCTAGCTCCAACCGTCTCACTTGTATGAAAAGAAAACACTGATGTTGCAGTTAGGAGGCCTGTGTTTCCCATCGAGGTCCAGTTTTAGCTTCATTTATTGTTTGTTCATTACCCGTGTGCTTTGTTTACTCTTGCACATAGCTCTGCTGTTCCTTGTAGTTCCCCCTCCCCTCATTTGCTGGGAAGCTGACTTGTGCTCTTGTATTCGTGAGTCTCTGTTAGCCTGGCTGCTCCTGTACATCCACAGATGAGCTGCCTTTGCTCAAACGTGGTGTTGACTCCTTATGCGGAGATTGTAAGTCCAGGTGGGACAGCTTCTCAGTGAAGCCTTTTCTACAAGCCCGAGCTCTACTGGGGTAGAAAATAATTAGATCTTTTGAAGCACATTTACTTTTTTACTTCTTGAGAATACTTGTGATCAGGGAAATTAAAAACAAAGCAAAAAATACCCCTTAATGATAGGTTCAGAATGTAGTTAAGTAATATATTGTATAGAAACAAGCACAGGATAATCATATAATTTATTGTACTAACATTCTTCAATCAAATGGTGTTAGAGATAAGATAAATTATATGGCTCTAATGTGTGTCTGCTATTTGGTTGGTGGCAGGGATGTCTAAGGCTGGCCACCGATTATCAACACTTTCTATAGCAAGGGCTTATGACTCATCAACTTATACAAACCCTAGAGACCCTTAAGAGGATCCTCAAGGTTGGTCGAACCCAGTAAAGACTGAGAAAATCTACTAGCCTACTATTGGTTTCCTAAAAAGCTAAAGACAGAAACGAAAGATATAGTGGTTTTCTTGGAGACATTTTGAGAGACTTATTTACTTGAATTGTATGCTCAGTGTTCATGCTTACTTAGTGCTTGTTTGTGAGTATGATGTGACATTTATATTCCCTTTATGGTGTACTGGGTAAATAACAGTTAGAGTTAAGCTTTTTATCCTTGGGTTTCTAATAGCTACTGCCAGGTGAGCCTTAAATGTTAAGATTATCTGATGATAAGGGTGCAGCTTATTGGCTCAAAGTTCAAAGGAGAGCATTGGCTTCAAGGACATAAATCACTGGGCTGTTATCTCTAGTTTGTAACAGAACAGCACTGAGGGACGGTTATCTAGACAATCTAGTATCTACCTGCAGTTAGAGGCTGAGGTCAGCTCTGTGGGCTTAGGCCTTTGAACCATTCTGCAAGAAGAGGTTCAGATTTACCATTTTCCATGGTCAGAGGAACATGGACAGGTGATTCGGTGTCCTTTCTGAAGCTGCTGTTTATTTTGTCCAATCTCGAAGATTCACTGGCGTCTAATATAACTATGGAGTCATCAGAGATGAATCCAGTTATTGAGAGACAGAATTTCATGTGTTTGTTTCATATGTTTATTAATTTTTCTCTCCAAGTTGTGAGTTCTATGGGTTCCAGATAGTATTTTAGAATTTGTAACATCAAATCTTACAAAGTCACATGCTTAAAGGGACCATTAGGTAAAGTAGATGATTGAGTGACCAAGTGAAAAAGCCTTGCAAAGAAAAGATGTAAACGCCCTGGTTTAAATCAGCCTCAGGCCGAGAGATCCTTACCTTATAGGTGGAAGCCCAGTGCTATTGCGTGGCCAGTGACCTGTCAGTTTATAAATTCTGTCAGCGTCAGCTAACTAAATAGAAAACGACCTTATAAATATTTGATTTTGTGTGCTTGTTTGGCTTTTCAATATTAATATTGGCTATTCTGTTTTTGAGGAATAATCCCAGGTGTAATGGGATATAATACGTAAGAATGTTCACTTCCGTTAAAGGATAGGCCTTTTTATTTTTAGGTTGATTTAATTTATTTTATCTTTATGAACATTTTGCCTGCCTGTATGTCTGTGCATCATGTACACATCTGGTGCCATGGAGGTCCCAGGACTAGAGTCTCCATCAGCTGGGAGCCTCCATGTGGGTGCTGGGGATTTTACACGGGTCCTCTGCAAGTATTAAATCCCGAGCCTTTTCTGTAGTCCCAGCTTTACTGTTTCCAAGGACATGGTTCTCCTTCCCCACGCCTCTCTCCAGCAGCTGTCCCTTGAGCTGGAAGTACTGCATCTTGGTGGTTGGATTTGGCTTTTCCTAATGATTAGTGACTAATGTCTTCCATGTGCTTATTAGCGTTTTTGTTTCTTCTTTGCAACAATGTTTATTTAGTGCTTTACCTATTTTTAGGGATCTTTGATGCCTTCTAGCTTTCATTTCTTCCATGTACTTCTCTACTCTGGGTTGCCTTTTTGCTCTTGTGATTGTGTCCTTGATGCGGAAGCATTGAGTTTCTAGGAAGTTCACCTTCCTTATTTTTTCTTTTATTGCCTGAACTTTTGTTCCATACAAGAAGTCATTGCCATGGCCCTTTCCTCATATGTCTCCTTCTTACAGTTTTATGGTTTTAGCTCTCGGGGCTAAGTCCTTGATAATTTTGAATTTCATTGTAGCGTGAACTTCGTTTCTTTCACATACGCATAGCCAGTCTCCCTGATGCTGCTTGCTGAGAAGACTTGGTGTCAGTGTTCTGTCTCTCATGCTTGGTTGAATTGGCTTCAGTTTGTTAATGGCCACAGTTGTGACTGCAATGAGCCTAAGCAATCTTTTCTGCCAGCTGCTGCCTTATGAAGTTGTAAGCCTTTCTGTGCTTTCTTCTCCACTGAGAAATTGGAGGAAAGACTTGGCAGGTCTGTTTGCTGACAGTAGCATCACCATTTGTCATGTCTTATATCTTCTTAGTATTTTTTTTAAGATTTAATAATCATATATGCCCGTTGAAACTTAAAAAAACATCATGGTGCTTTTCTGATGTTTTAAATGACAGCCTTGTTTGTAAATCTGAAATTTCATTTTAACACTTCTCTAAATTTAGGTTATAATTCTGTAAAATTAAAGGATTGAACTAAATATCCTGTTGTATATCTTTCAGTATGAATGATTTCAAAACATTTATATATGCCTTTTTGCCAATTAATAAAAATTCAGTGCACAGTAGAAGCTCTGTCTTGTGCAAGGAATACATGAAAACTGACACGTAGAACATGTGATCGTGTAACTCTGTAGCTGTTATCTTTTCTTCCTGTGTGGACAGAAGTTTTGCCATGAATATTTTTAATTCTCTTTTAATAACAAAATCCTTAGTTTCTAAAAGTTATAATTTATAGCATTATTACATCTGTCTTTTTATGCATAAAGCATAAATAGCCTAACATACATAAAAGTTGCATCTGACAGAGGGAAAGGCATGGGGGTGCATTGTAGTGATATGCGCGGCGGGGCTGCGTCCCCAGCACCCCAGCCGCCTGCTAACTTATGCCCCGAAATCATTACACGGACACTGTATTCTTTTAAACACTGCTTGCCCATTATATCTAGCCTCTTCTCGGCTAACTCTCACACCTGGACTAGCCCATTTCTAATAATGTGTGTAAGCACCCCAAGGTGCGCTTACCGGGAAGATTCTAGCCTACGTCCATCCTGGGTCTGAGCTTCATCGCGTGTGTCTCTGAGCGCAGAGCTATTGCGTCTACCCAGGAGAGCTGNTCCATCCTGGGTCTGAGCTTCATCGCGTGTGTCTCTGAGCGCAGAGCTATTGCGTCTACCCAGGAGAGCTGAGCATGGCGTCTCTGCTCCAGAGAGCAGAGCTGTCGAGTCTGAGCTCACTTCCTCTTCCTCCCAGCATCCTGTTCTGTTTACTCCTCCCACCTATGTTTTAACCTATCAGGGCAAGCAGTTTCTTTATTTAATTAACCAATGACCTTCCTCAATCAGGTGCATTCTTAAAGGGAAAGACTTCCCAGACCTAGAAAGTGAGAATTTTAGGGTGCTGCTTGTTTGTGTCTTTCTGTGTAAGAGTCCCAGGATTGTATGCTGTATGTACATATTTATGGTTGTTAAAACCTCATCTGTTGTGTTAATTGTATAATTATATAAATTTATTTATAATTATAATTTAATTATATAAATTTACATATTAAGTATGAGTAATTTTTACCTGCTCTAATTCATTTTATTTCACAAAATTTTTGTTACTGCAATTTGCCTTTTGTGTTTTTATAGCATGTAGGAATAAAAGTTATTATTTATTGTGTGTATTTTACTTTTGTTTCCTTGGTTTTGTTTTCTAGCATGGAACTTGGAAGCAATGGTTAAGAGACTGAGAGAAGGAGACTTTTTATAGCTTTTTAAATTTGAACTATCTGAATACATTATCACAGATATTAAATATTTAGCACTTAGCCTATTTCTGATAAATTGAAGTGTTATATTTTAAACCCTTTTCATTTAGTATTCAATCCAGTATTCAAGTCATAGTAATTTTATTTACGCTGAAGTAATTTGGTAAGAGATGCAGATTAGATTACTGCTGGCCCTTTAGAACTGAAATAGGAAGTAAGTCTGGCACACAGTAGCAAGGTTTGGAGACATATCTTTGATAGGAATATCTTTGGTAAAAGGGCTATAAATGCACCTTCTTTGGAGATAGATTCAGAAATCACAAATAAAATAAATGATGTGCTCAGTGAGCTGCGGTTCAGGTAGAAGGGTTTGGTGGGAAATGATTGCATTAGCGGCAGATGGACTTGGCTCCCGATTGCAATCTTGTGGGGATTCCTGTACTTGTACTTATTTTTTAGATTTAGACTCTGACAAGATGGAAAGCTGCTTCTCCGGTTGTCCTCCTGTGCTTACCGTGTCCTTTGCATGTTTCATCTCCATTAGGCTATCTTTATGATCCCCACAAACCCGCCACCAACATTCAGGAAGCCTGAACTTTGGTCTGATGACTTCACCGATTTTGTTAAAAAGTGCTTAGTGAAGAGTCCTGAGCAGAGAGCCACCGCAACACAGCTGTTACAGGTCAGTGCCGACACGGAGGGACTTCTGGTGGCTTCCGGGTGCTGACAGCCAGGGCTGCAGTCTCGTGACAGCCCTCGAAGATCTGAAACCTGAGTTGGGACGCATGTGTTCAGCTCTTCTGCGTTTCTCTTTGTCTCCCATCTGTTCCCAGTTCATTTTCTTACTGTTCCCATTCTCTCCTCTCTTGAGTTCTTATCTCTATAGGTTTTATTTCCCAGGCTTTTCCATGACTCAGCCTTTCTCCCTGGACTTTTTGTTCCTCTCTAATATATGTAATATATGTAAATCCAAGGTCCCTGAATGCCTTGAAAAGATTTCATGTTATAAGTGCTAGCTACAAGTTTACCTAAGTGAAGTTTTAGTATCCCTACTATAAATAAACTTTGTATCCAGAACACCAAGAGGCTTTTTAAAAATCTTAGGAAATTTAAAGCAAAAAGAAATAACTTAATACTTGTAATTAATAAGTTTTTAGAACTTTTTTCCCTCAACAGAATTGCCTCAGAACTCTCAACTGATAAGTGTGCCTCACAGTGTGTCTCTCACGAACAAATCTGATAATTTTCAGATGCTTCTTACTGTCAAATGATAAAAGAATTCAAACAGCAGTCCCTAAGCTACTACTAAACATAAACTAACCCGACTAAAGGCTCGTGAAGCTCTGTAGTGCTTAGGAAAATCATACAGGGCTTACTCTTCATCAAAATCAGTATTTCTGTGTCTATTTTTAAAAATCTGTATATTCTTTGTTCCAGCAATTTCATTTTAACACTTCATTATGAAACATTAACCATGTATAAAATCATATATGAATATGGTCCATCAAGAGGAGTTATTAGGAAACGCGTGTGTGCACGCGTGCACACACACACACCAGTGCCATAAAGAAAACTAGTTATTCAGTGTCTCCTTGGGCAGGTCATTGCAAGGGTGAGAGGCAGGAATGGGATGGAGATTTATTTGAGTTTTGAGTTATGTTCAAGTATTATTTTAAAATTTAATTAGTTAATGATTAAGATGACAAGTTTGGGTCAGCATTAAGACACTAGCTGGCGAGTCTGGCAGCCGTGGTGGGAGGAGAGAACAGATCACCCAGTTTCTTCCCCCCCTCCCTGTGCTGCCGCTACCACCCATGCACTGCTGTCTCTCCCAACAGACAAGTGTAGTTTAAAAATGAAGGGAAGAGGGCCCTGAGACCACATGGTGGACAGAGAAGACCAACTCGCACAACACACTAAATAAAAACATAATAAAATATCTTTAAACTAAAAAATTAAGAAACAGTAAATTTTATGTGAGGTTTATTTTTCCATGATAAAAATTGAAAAAGCAGTTGATCAAAGCATTTATTTTGAAAGAGTATTAACTTTCCACGAAAATGTTAAGCAAGCGAATCAAGAGCTTCTTGGTATCATTGTCTCAGTGAACATGTGAATGATTCAGCACAAAAGAGACAACAGGAAGAAAAGGTCTGAAAAGAGAGCAGAAAAAGTAAAACAGTGTATCTGGGCACTGATGTCTTTTCTTTTAAGATAACTTATTTATTTCTAGCTTTCCCTTCTAGGGTAAAAAAAGAAAAAGCTTTGTTTTTAAGTTAAGAAGGCTGGAAACACTTAAACTATGTCAGTATAATTCCTTATTTTTGTGGCAAAGGGTATTATAGCCCAGTAGAATTAAATGACTCACTGAAGATGCCATAGTAAGCCCGTGATTATTCTAGATAGATTCCATTTGTTCTAGCCCTGTTCTTTTAAAGATATTTTAATTAGGTTTATTTATTGAGTCTGGGGTGGTCATACATGCAAGCCACAGCACACATGTGGAGGTCAGAATACAACTTGTGGGGGCTGGCTCTCTTGTACTCTGTAGGTTCCTGGTTTAAACTCGAGGTTACCCACTAAAGCTGTGTTGCCAGGCCTAAGCCCACGCACGCTTTATTCCTTCTGCCTCTCTCCAGGAATGGCAGATTAACTGAGGGGCTGGAGCATGGTGTCTGTGACTCGCTTTTGCCAGTTCCAGCGAGACGGAGGAGCACCTTTCCCTTCCCGTGTGGCCCCATTATGCTGTAATCACCTCAAATATGTCCTCTTTGTAGTGGAGAGCCACATCAGTTCTATAATATTTGCTTTAAATGTAAAACATAATTGAGGAAACACACAAGAAGGAAAATTTACTGACTGACCCTGTTTTTGTTCTCCCGTTGTTAGTTTTCCTGATACCCAAGGTTCCTTCCACCATTTCCCTTTTTTACAGAAGTATTTTAACCACACTTTTAGAAGTTTGTGTGGTAATTCTTTTAGTAATATTATGGGTTGGCGGTTCATTTCCTCACATCACGTGAGAATACGTAGTTAGGGACCCCACGTGTTTCTGTCGGGGGAGGCCATAGGCCCCTCTCTGGGCTCCAGGTTCTTAGGGGGGGATTGCATTTGGATAGTTTACTGCTTGCTGTCCAGTAGTTTTTGCGTTGGGGTTGGTGTAGCTTCTAGAACATGTTATTTTAAGCCCCTCTCCCAAATTATGAAAACTTTTTCAAATATGCTTTCACAGCCTCACCTTGTTTTTTATTTCTTGACGCAGCATCAGATCCTGTATCAGCCTGACAAACCCCCAGCCCAGAGGTTGTCACCTCCCACTTTACTGTATCCCCATCACCCCTCTTTACTGTATTCCCATCACCCCTCTTTACTGTATCCCTATCACCCCCTCTTTACTGTATCCATCACCCCCTCTTTACTGTATCCCCATCACCCCCTTTCCTGTATCCCTATCACCCCCTCTTTACTATATCCATCACCCCCTCTTTACTGTATCCCCATCATTCCTTCTTTCACTTTTGAGACCATGGATTCTTTTTTGTCTTGATTTTGCTCACCAACCTATTGATCTAGTTATTCAGGTAGCAAAAGAAAACGCAAAGCCCGCCCCCACAGTGACACACTTCCTCCAACAAGGAAGGCCACACCTCCTAATAGTACCACTCCCTTTGCGGGCCATTTTCTTTCAAATCACCACAATCATGCTGTTGGACTCTAGATTTGTCCCCCCATCTAACTAGGTAGCTAGTTAGCTTCTGTCTGTCAGTAATCTAATCTGTCTGTCTGTCTGTCGTCTGTCTAACGTCTGCCTAACTTCATGGTAGAGACTGGAGGTGGCTAGACAAACACTCTAGCACCGAGCTATGCTTCTCGCCCTTTTGCTTTTTGTTAGTTGCTCACTGAGCTGTTTCTTTGGACCTGAATTTACTGTGTAGCGCAGACAGCCTTGAACTTGTGATCCTCCTGCATCTGTTTCCCAAAGAACTGGAATCAGAGGTCTCAGCCACCAGTGCTGCTTTTTATTATTGTTATTATTATTATTATTATTCTCAGTTCTTGGGATCAAATTCAGCATTTCATAAATGTTAGCTGGCATTTTACTACAGATATCCACCTGGGTCCTCATTTAAATACAGTGTTACAGCGAGCATCCTCATTCTCTATTTCAGGGGGTAGAGGGTACCATCCTATTCCTTCCTTGGTCTCCTTTGACATTGCTGGAAAGGCTTGTTAGTCTTTGCTGAGGATGAGGTCATGCTCTGATTGCTCCAGTGGCCTACACTGACACTGGCCTCACCATAGCAGAATAATGGTGACGGTTCAGGCCTCTCATTGTGACCCTGCTCCAACAGGGAGAGAGTGGTGATGCTTATTAGCACCTGGTAAAGATCTAAGCCCAGGATTCATGTGGTCTTTACTGACACTTTCCAGTTGAGGACAGAGTCCTTTGTGGGCATGAATCTCCATGTTAGCAGTTGGTCTTTGTTGGTATCGTCTTAGAAAACCTGGACAGTTGAGGGGACAAAAGTCTAAATTCCTCACCATTTTGCCAGTGGAGGTCTTGCCATCGTGTTCTCCGTGATGTGTGCTCATAATAGAAAGGCTGTGAACTAGATTATCTGTTTTCTGGCTGTGTGGCTTTACACTTGATCTTAGTCAAAAGGCCGAGAAGCGATAGGCTGTGTGGCTTTAGACAACACTTTCTACAGGGGCAGAGGCTTTGCAGAGAGTGATCATTGGTGCCTGTGGTGTATCAGAGTGGAGGGGATCTCATGGCTCCTCACCCCAGATCAGTAGGCAGAGGCACTCCTCTCCAGGGAGGAACTCAATAGTTTATCTAGTCCTGAGGATCAGCATTAAGCAGATATACGTATCTGAACAATACTCAGTGAACTAGCAGGTTGTATTTACAAGTGTGTGTGTGTATGTGTATGTATGTTTGTGTGTGGACATGGTGACTTTCTGTGTAACACTCAGGCTATCCTTGAACTCACGATTCCACTGTGGTTACAGGGATTAAAGGTGCACCTCCATTCCTGGCCTGCCAGTTCCTCTTTGTTGGTTACAGTCGCATGTGAAGCAGTTACATAGAAAGCAGGAATACAGGTGGAACTGGACAGGTGGAGATGCTTGAGGTTCTGCGCATTTAGCTCTGAGAAGAACACTATTGTGAGTGTATGGTAAATGACAAAGTTAAGATGTACTTTGGAAGCGAGATATAACTACGGTTTCAACAGCTAGTGCAGGGGACAGTCAACAGCTAGTGCAGGGGGACTATAGAGCTGCTTGCGTGGATGATTAGACCTTTGTGTCAATAGAGCATAATATTATCTGCTGATAAATTTAACTGTGATAAAGAATTAATTGTGAAATGATGGTAAGAGTTTTTCTTACTGTTTTTTTCTTTACTTGATCTTCCTTCCTTCCTTCCTTCCTTCCTTCCTTCCTTTCTTTCTTTCTTTCTTTCTTTCTTTCTTTCTTTCTTTCTTTCTTTCTTTCTTTCTTTCTTTTTTCAAGATAGGGTTCTCTGTGTAGCTTTGGAGCCTGTCCTGGTACTTGCTCTGCTCGAACTCACAGAGATCCGCCTGTCTCTGCCTCCCAAGTGCTGGAATTAAAGGCATGTATCAGCATCACCCAGCGATAGTGTTTTCTTATTCGACAGTTTTATCAAGTAATTTGTTACCATGTTAAAGCCCTTTCCAAGTGTCTTTAATTTCTCCATCACTGGTTGCTTTTGTCTGAATGTATTTTTGTGTTCTATTAGTCTTTATTAAAATAATCAAAGTTGTTTTCTTCTGATCATATATACTGCTGAATAAATTATAGACATTGTGTTTTGATTCCGTGTATTTCCCTTCTGCTGTCTCTCATGCTCTTCTCCTCGAAGAAGTGTTTAGGTCTACTCAAGGCTGATGGGGTGGCTTAGCTAGTACAGGCCCTTGCTGCCAGTATTGACGGCCTGACTTCCATCCTTGGGACCCACATGGTAGAAGGAAAGAGAGAGCTGACTCCACAAGTTGTTCCTGACCTGCACATATGTACTCACACACACCCATACACACACACACACACACACACACACCCATAGACACACATACAGACACAGGCGCAGGCACACACACACACACACACATAGACACATATATGCACACACACATAGACACATATATGCACACACACAGACAGACATACACACAGACACATACACACAATTTTCAAATGTAATTAAAAAGAGTTCAAGTCTGTTCTGATGGATTTCCTTTTGTTTATCAGAGTGCATGACTTATAAAATAATAGAGAACGTAGTCATTTCTTAGCTAGGTGAGGGGAGTAAGGACAGAGACAGCAGCCAACATGAGGCGGGAGTT